TCGTTTGACTTCTCTATGGCTGGTTCCGTTCTATGGGTGATTTCTCGAATCGGATTGGGCTCCGGCCTGCTTTGTTCCTGAGTTTGGCTCTGCAACTGAGCTATCGCTATTTGCTGGGATCATCTATAAGCTGACTCTGATCTCCTCCGCGTTATGGGTGTCTCGAGCTACGGATCAAGTACCGCCCTGAATATTTTTTTCTGGTTCGGAGCGTTGGTTCGCCTCAAGAGCCACTTGTGAATTGACATCTAGCGGTACTTCGACTCGAGCTTCGGTGACATCGTTAATTCGCCTTCTGTCCTTGGGTGTCAAGTCGTTGATTTCATCTTGAAGGACGGCTTCATGGTCGATAGGCAAAGACATCAATCGAGGGTTTGCCATTGTTGATCTGGAGTTGTAAACTGGTGTGTATTGCAGATTTGTATCAAACAACCACTGTTACCCTTAGCCCCAAGATGGGCGCCAAACTGTTTACCCAAAAAATCAGATAACGTTAGATTTGTGTATGGTTCTAAGGATATGCGATACAATTTGATATAAATCATATAGAGAAATAGAAATATGTGTATTCTTGACTATGAGAATGAAAATAGTGAGCAAAAAGAATGAGTAAAACAAGCACAAGGGGATATCTTTTTTCTCTCGTGATCTTTTGTTGCAGTCCCTCTTATAGTAGAGGGATCCTACTTTATATACAATAAAAAATATGTAGTGGAGAGCCCATGATGTATTGTCTTTTCCTTGATTTCCGCCAAGATTCTCTCCCATAGTGCGGTTGCAACGGCCCTAATCTGCGAGCTCGATTCTGACTTGGGGTCTCGGTATTCGGGGTGAATGTTGGTCGGTCCATGCATCTTCGATAATCTCCGCTTTGCCTCGTAGTTCGATTTGGATATGGGCTCAATAATGATATCGAGCTTGTCATTGATCGGTCTTAGAGCTCGAAGTTCGGCGCCCTTACTTCGGACCTTGACCGAGCTTGTCATGCAGATATCCTTTGATCGAAACATTATCGTCTCGATCAGTCCGTACGACTGACTCGAATCGGTTTTGACCGTATATAAGTTTGAAGAATTGAATTGCAAGTTATTCGTTCAGTTTAGACTTGCAATACAATATTCCTTCAAAAATTTCAAACTGTTTTATCAATGTATATTAGAGTACATTTCTTAAAGGCCATGTTGGGGAATATAGTAGAATGTTTTCCTTTTTTTTTTGTTTTTCATCTGGTGCCTGATATCTGCTTCGAGCTCGACTAAATTCAAATTCACTCTCTTTCTTAAAGCTACGACTATACAAATCAAAACATGTTTGACGAAGTAGGCAAGGGCGGCCTAAGGGTAAGGTAAATGAAGCCATTGCCTTAGGCCCCCAAAATATTAAGGGCTCCAATTTTAAGTACTATATGTCACATATATTTTATGTAATTATTATAATAAAATATTATTAAAAATTTAATTAAAATTATATGGTTGAGTGACAAATAAGTAACAAATAACGATAACTTTCTTTCTCATTTAATTAAATGATGTATTTACGTTCGTTATCAAATCTAATTTTTTCTCCTCTATGTACACACATGTTCTTTTTAATGTTTATAATGATTTCACTTCCTAATTTTAACTCAGTTTCTCTGAATTGACTATTTCTTTTCACTATATTTTATTGGTCCATTAGAATATATGCAACTTTTTTTGTTCATCTTGTTAAGAGAAATCCCCAAATGCAATTTGCGCAAGGTTCGAAAGTCGACAGATTAATTATTTTTGTGCGCCCTCTACCTTCTTCCATTTAATTAATATCATATTTTCATTGACATAGTTTCAAATGTGACGTGCACCTAAGTTGCACATCACGGTTGTATACTTACCACTGAGCCAAAGTTCTAGGAATTTGCTATGTATCTCATTATTATATAAATTTTACAAAAGAAACTTAAGGCCCTCTTAATATGTTTTGGTTTTAGATCACAAAATCCGTTGAGCCGCCCCGGAAATGGGACGCAACAAAAGATCTTAAATAAAAAAAATTCAACAACAACAAAAATATTGGAGGCTAGTCGTATGAAGTTGTCACGTCTAGAAAAAGAATAAAAAGATTGAAAAGGGTGCATTAAATTAGTACTGCTAGAATTTTTTGAACGAGCTACGGGTCATATCGTATAAGATTAGGGTTGTTGCTAAATCGAATTCAATCATGCAAGAATAAAACACAAATTATTTGATGTCACAATTATTTTATTTCAAATATGGTATAATTCTGCGGTTAGAAAAATAGAAGAATTTGCCAACCAGGATGACAGAAAAAGCGAGTGCTGACAAATTTAACAGAAGATGTTATTTTCAAAAGAGCAATCATAAAAATGAAATGGTAGTCTGAAAATGATAGCTAACAAATTTGTTTCTTTAATTGATTATTGCTTCCTTGTAAAAATATGTACTCTATATGAAATTAAAGTTTCTTCACATGCATGATCCTCTCGTATTCCAACTTTATACTTGTAAATAATACTAATAAAGATCTAATTTTAAGACATTTTACGCAATTTTTCCAAATTACCAAGTAACCGCATCGGGATGAAAAGAGTATACAAAACTCTATAAGAATGTGCTATCTTTACTGTCAATATAAAAAATTAGTCTGTTTTATTGCATATGATACTCTTTTAAAAAAATACTTGGCCTAAGAAGATTGGCAATATTTCGTACTTAAAACTTCTTTAATTTTTTACATTTTAACGTTTGTCCTAATGACATGCTCTTGTAATAGGAATAAAACAATCAATCAGAATGAAGAAAAACATAAAAATAGCCTTTTATTGTTTATTCATCAGGAAATTGAAATCTACTAGTTCGATTAATTCTAATTCACATTATATAAGGCCTATTAAAACAAAATTGTTTCTTACTAAGAGTTTCTCTACTCGAAAGCTCGAATCGGAGACCGAATTAAGTTTTTAGATTTGCTTTATAAAAACTAAGCACCTATGTGTAAGAAATATTCTGCTCTAACATTTTGTGTGCTCAGTTATATAGTATTATATATCATTCCTCTAAGTTCAAAATAAGTGACTTTAAGATTTTGAAATACTCATTAAGACATCATTTAATTGTATTAAGTATAAAAAATGTTTGACTAAATAACTCATTATATTATCTCAAATAATTAATGTCTTCCTAATCTTGTACTAAAAGGATACTTAATTTGAATCGGATTGATTTAATTAAGAATTATAAAACGAAGAACAAAATTATAGTATCAAGATGAGACGTACAGAAAATCACAGCTGGAACCCCACACGCTCAGTCTACTGTAACACACATGACTCGAAGAGTATCATACAAAAAATAGATTCACGGACTACCCCTTGGGAATTGCAAATAGAACAGAACTGGTCCCCATATTTTTTTAACCAGACACAAGTGGGTCTAAAAAGGATTAATTATTTTGTAATCATTTTATTCCTCATCTCTGAAGATTATTTATCAAAAGACTAATGTAAAGGTCTCAACCTTTCCTACTTTCACTTTCTCAGTTACAATTCCAATAAAATATTTAAGAGTAATTTCTTCGCAGAGTTGTCAAAAAGTTTTTTCAAACAAAGAAGTTAAATAGATAAAGCGTTACATTGATTGAGGTATCTGGTGGCAGTAACGTATCAATCTCTCTTGTCACACTTTAATTTAGCTGCTGTTCTATGCTCTTAAATTACTATAACATTATTATTGGTAATTGGAATTTAGCTCGAAAAACTACAAATGGCACACAGCTCTACACATTCTGTTTACAAGCAGCATAAAGCCAATACATATATACATACACATATATATACAATGCGGCAATTGGCAAAATATAGTATGTACTGCTAGCTTAAGTCTATGTACTAATAGTGTAAAAATTACTTATAAAATCACATCATTTACTATAAGGTAATTATAGGTAATCTGTAATAAAGAATTGCTGTAATAGTAATTTGATAAAAATAATAGTTAATCTGCTGTAATAAGTTTACTACATTAATACCGTACTCTTTCGGTCCCAATTTATTTAAATGGCGAAGTTCGAATTTTAAGAGTCAGAAGTGTTTCTTTGACTACGATTTTTTTATTTGTCTTTTAAATATTTCAAATTATTAATTATTGTAACTTAAAATACCTTTTACGTGATTTTCAAATATATAAATTTTATTTCAAAAACTTAAAAATTCTATATCCAAGTCACGATTGCAGTTAAAAAATTTAACTATCGAAATTCGTACCCATCGTAAGTTGAGAGAGAGGGAGTAACAATTTTATAATGTCAATGTAAATAATATATTTAAGCTTAGAATAAAAAATTATACTTAGATTAGGGGGGGATATAGGTGGGCCAGCTGCTAAATCTATGGCTGACCGACTTCGAAAAATAAGAGGTAGAGATAAAGTTGAAAGGACGTAGAAGAGGAAGCTGGAAATTGAGAGAGTGTGTTTAAAATAAGAGAGGAAATATTCTCCTTAGCTTTCAAGCTCTTTTTTGGGTGTTTTCTTTTGAAATCAAACAAACTTTGCTAACCTCTAGCTCCCAAAGTTGAAGTGATTATTGTATTTTTTTTTCTTGATGTTTTAAGTTTTAAACTTTGTGTGTTTCTGTTTGTGCTGTTGTTTGCTACTCATAAGGTTTCTTGTTAGTTTGTTCTTTTGACACAATCTGTGAAACTTCTGAGATTTTGAATACCACCAAGATTTTCTTATCTGTTTGTCTTTGGAAAAAAAACACTTGGTTTCTTTAGCTTTGTTTTCTAGCTACCAAAAACCAAACCCCATTGACAAAATGATGTCTGGAGATGTTTTTTCATTTCCTTCTTCTGTTAAAGCAGTACTTCCTCAGCATGAACTTCAAACAAACCCTAACCCTAAACCTAATCCAGCTTCTTCCAAGAGAAGAAGAAATCTTCCTGGAACACCAGGTATATTATTATTTAGCTTCAAATTACTTGATTTCCTATAGTTTCACTTGAACCTACAGTTTTTTATTTGGAAGAATATATGTGTGTGTGAAAGATCTTTTCCTTGAGCCTAGTCTATAGTAAACAACATCTCTACCCTCAAAGTAGGTATAAGGTCCGCGAACATACTAATCTCTCCAAACCCCACTTATGGATTATAGTGGATTTGTTGTTGTGTGTAAAGATCTTGAAAAGTAGCATAGATATCATGTTCTGAATCCATATCTTCTAAGAACTCAGAACTTGAACCAATAAAGCTTAAATCTTGGATTTGTCAATCCTTGCATGTACATCTTCTTTTTTAGATTTTATGCTTTGGTTTATTAGAGTTTTATTTTCTTGATAGATCCAGATGCAGAAGTTATTGCTCTTTCACCAAAGTCACTCATGGCTACAAACAGATTCTTATGTGAAATCTGCAACAAAGGTTTTCAAAGGGACCAAAATTTGCAACTTCACAGAAGAGGACACAATCTACCATGGAAGCTAAAGCAAAGGAATAAAGATGAAATTGTGAAGAAGAAAGTGTATATATGTCCAGAAAAGACTTGTATTCACCACGATGCATCACGTGCACTTGGAGATCTCACTGGAATAAAGAAACATTTCAGTAGAAAACATGGAGAGAAGAAATGGAAGTGTGAGAAATGTTCAAAGAAGTATGCAGTTCAATCAGATTGGAAAGCTCATAGTAAAACTTGTGGTACTAGAGAGTACAAATGCGACTGTGGCACACTCTTTTCCAGGTATTTAATTTATGTAACATGTTTTTTGTTGGGGAATATTTGTTCCAAGTAAACTAAATGCTCATCTATTAATTGAAATAAAATAAATGGTCATCCATCCATGCATAATACTCCATTATTATTTGCAAATACTGAATGGCTATTGGTATTTGCAAATACTGAGTATTAATTAGTAGTTCAAATACTGGTGAGAATTTTCAAAACAAGAATAGCAAATTACTTCAAAAAATTAAAAAAACATATATACTGGCTAGGAGCATTTCAAGTGAAATATGATTTTCGATGGATCACAAAAATTTCAAATTTTTTTTTTTTTTTTTGGGTGAAATTCATATCCAAACACAACTTCAAAATCCAAATTCGCTTTTAATATTCCGACTTTCAACTTCAAATACTTTTTTTTTCAACTTCAACCAATTATTTTCCAAAAATGCGCCCGCTTAATTGTTGGATACCATGTGTTTTGAAAGCTTATTGTTTTTTACTAATTCTTCTTGCAGAAAAGATAGTTTTATCACACACAGAGCTTTTTGTGATGCTTTAGCTGAGGAGAGTTCAAGAATCACTTCAGTTGGGGCTAACAATATGAACTTCCCAAATACTAATGACACCCTTTTGAACCAGCAATCCAGTTTACATGGAATTTCCCAAATTGGGACATTTTATAGACCAGATTTTGCTAGTATGGCAACTGGGAATTCTCTTCATCAGCAGCAGCAGAAACCAAGATTATCACTTTGGTTAGATCAAGCTAATAATCCTCTTCAAACATCTGCAAATTCAAATATTTTCGAGTCAACTACCACAAGCGGATTTGTAGATATGATACAAATGCCTTCTTCAAATGTCTTTGGATCATCTTCAACAGCTGCAAACTTTTCACTATCTTCATCACAAGGCACTTCAATGGCTGAAACCTTAAGTTCTTTGTATTCTGATAGTCAAAATAACCATTTAACCAAATCTTCAACGCCAATGTCAGCCACTGCACTTCTACAAAAAGCTGCTCAAATGGGTTCTACAAAAAGCAACCAAAGTACTTTCTTTAGCAACAGTTTCAACTTAATGAGCTCTTCTTCTTCTTCTCCATCAAATACACCAACCTTTAGCAGTTTGCATAGTAGTGAAACAACAGACCAAAAATTCCCCAAAATATCCGAAGATTACACAGTATCCTTGGGAGAGGACAATGGCGGGCTCATTGGGTGTACAAATTTTAGTTCGTCGGCAAATACTAAGGCAATAAACCTGGATCAGGCAATTATGCAAACAGTTGGCATGCAAACTCCAACAGTTTCGATGAGCTTACAACAGGGAATTAATAATTGTCTAACGAGAGATTTCTTAGGTATAAGAAATGAGCCATTTTTGTCACAAGAGATGGCTAAGTTTGCTTCGTTGAGTTCAGCTATGGGGTTGAGCCATTACAGTAGCAGTCATTAGCAATGGCAGTCTTTTTCAGTTTTCACTTCTCTTTCAGAATGCAATACTGTAAAATGCCACCTTATCTTCGAGCTGGCCAGCCTCAGCCTATTGGCTATATTTCCTTTCATTTTCGCACAAATTTGGATGCATTATTTTCCCTTTGAAAAGAAAAAACAAAACCCCGTATTTATTATTTGCAAACCTGACAAGAGATTATGGTATATACACACCATATCCATTATCAGACCGTCTCAGAACTTACATATTCACAGTGTAAAACCAAATTGACTTTTTTTAGTTAAAACAAACCAAATCAATTATGGTTCGATTTTTTTTTTTCAATACCAAACCAAATCATCGGATTTTTTTCTCCGATTTGACTCGAATTATCGGTTTGATGCGGTTTATCGATTTTGTTTGTACACCCCTAATTGTTAATATAGCTTAAATGGTTTTAACAGAGTTTTTATCTTACTTTTCAAATTATCACCCGATATAATTGTACTTTAAATAATTTTATAGTATTGAAATTGTTTATACCGCCAGCAACACTACTACCTATATAACCTCATAAGTTATTGTAGTAAGTACGTAATAGAAGGTTGTTGAAGTTTTAGAAATACAAATTTCTTTTAGTAATACCATGTACATCTTCTGTGTGATTTGCAGGCTATTATACAATGGAGGGTTTATCTAGTGTGCACAGAGTGCTTACACGAAGGGTAGATGCTGTGGTAGAGACTGTAACGGCTGCGGGTTTTCGTGAGTACCCAAAAATTTTATTTTTGTATGCTGAATGGAAACAAAAGGAAAATCAAGGGACCTTGAGTTCTTCTTAATGGGACCAAGGGACCTTCAGACGTGACCTTAACTTAAATCCTTAAACAAAAAACTGAATAAAATCTTAATGGCTAACACTTAAGTCAAATATCTTGGCTAAGAATAAAGAAAAGAAAATTCCCAATTTTGGTCCTAAGTTATTCGTAATTCTAATTTCAGATCTCGAGATATTCCTCCAAATTTATTAAGTTACTTAAAACAGTTTTGGCCTCTCCATTAAGCTTTCATGAACCTAATATATTTATAATTGGATCATTTATTTGCTCAACTTTTACAGGTAAAAAGAAGTTTTGTACTGTTACTCCTTATTTTTAAGTTTGGATCTTAAATTAGTTTTTAAGAGAAAGGATAAAGTACATATGTACGATAATTTATATAGCAAAATATGTTTGATTAGATATCAGAAGGATGGAAATTAAGCGTCCTATAATTAAAGGGACCATAATTTTATAATCTAAAATTTGCACTAATTTCAATATTTGTGGGGTCTTGGAAATTCGACTACGACCGTTTGGGGGGGCGAAGGATACAATAACTAAAGGGGTGCTATGCATGTTTGTGTTTTCTATGTGTTGGTGTTACTATTTAATTATTATATTATCAAGTCTGTGACCTGATTAATTTTTCTTTATTTTATATTTTCTTCCGTTTCTATAATCCAATTGTTTATTTTTTACTCCTATATCACACTCCTTTTGTAACATATACTGTTTGGCATTTTCTTTAGAATAAATATGGCACGGAAAACTACGAGAAAGTGTGGACTAGTGTCAAAGTAACCAGGTCAGTTAGTCAACGTTGGTTGGCTTTGCAGAATCTTTTGAGAGTGATATGATTTTTTAATATATAATACTATCATCATGATTTTCGAAACTTGTTAACATGACTGATTTGAATTCATATTAGACAGGTTCATTAAGAGAGTAGATATAGATACCAAGTTCGGCTTCATAAGCAGTGACAGTTGTACTATAAAAATTCTTTTTTACTATGGCTCTGATAGGGTCCCTTAGCCAAGTTATTGTCTATGAATCGCCCCTCATTTTTCAACAGGCACACGATCACCGTCATGTCTTCTTCAACTGCTTGGGAGATAACGGTTTCATATTTTATTTAACTTTCTAATAAGGGCTCTTTTCATCCTTCCCTTGCGGTGCTACTTTAAAGATAATGCCAACCTCGCTATCTACTCTAGCTACATAGAAAAATGGCGCCCCCAGAGAAAGGTTGCAGTCCAGATGGCGGCAGCGGCTGCTGCCTACGCTAGGATGCATATGGACCCCATTATCCGTAATAATAAGTCTGACTATATCGACACCGACTCTCGAGCTGATTATGAGAAACTCATTTACGCCTTTGAATGAGAGTTGAGATATGGGGCCAAACCCTCTTCTCTCTTTCGCCCATCTACCTTGGCTGCTTTCCGGAGCGCACTAACAAAAAATCTGAGATAATTCTTAGTTGTTGTGGAAGTTAGTGTCTTAAAGAAAGTAAGTGCTTGTTGCTCCTGTTCTTATAGTTAGATAAGGCCTTCATACTCTTACTAAAGTACACTTAAGACTCAACCAATCTTGAAAGTTTCGTGGACAACTGACATACCTTGAATCTAGCCTGAAAAAAACGTCGAAGGGGTCGGATCACCCTGAGTTACTGAAGAGTTTTTACCGCTTTCTCTTCTCTCCAGCATTCTTGGACTGATCATATTGCTGCAACAAAGCAGTGTTAGAAGGAAGGCAAAAGGTGACTGGTGCTTTGTTTAGGGACGGGAGCCACTCACTATCGGTTATCATGAATATTTAGCCTTGCAAGGTGGTAATTCACACGGAATTTCACGTACTTCATGCTACTTAGGTTAAAGCGTAAGCCAATGATACTTTCGATTACAAGAGTTTCACCATCTAGGGTGCAGCACTATCAAAAATTTCTCTAATCCAAAAATTCCAATATGTGACCTCTGATTATAAGGTGGAGGATTTTCAATCTTCCATCACATATTTGATTAGCCTTTTAGCTCATGTGACTGCCTCGCAACCTATAAGTTTTGTGAATGAAAAGTATTTGTCAGGAGCATCTTCAATATACTACTCCAATACGACAAGAAATGCGAGTTCTCTTATTTATCAAGCAAACACTAAACATTATTAATCAACTTTTTATATTGTCCTAATAAAATAAAATCATAAACTAGTGCTTCAAACTAAAAGAAATTCTACCCCAAAAAAATACAAGGATAAAGCAATCATGAGTTGACTTCTTTCATACTACGAACTTTTAGTTGCCACCTTGGATTGGGACTAAGGCAGAATGTTATTTATCCAATAAAAATACTTGAAAACTGTAGTCCTTTTTCCATGTATCAAGTTTACGACAAAGAAAATCTAGGAAACAGAGAACTTTACAAATCCTTATTCAATTTTTTTACCGTCATTAGTGTGTAAAGTGATGGCAAGAAAGATGTCTGCTCAAGTAGGACGGTAATTTTGTCCCAACATTCAAATTAGAGTACTAATATTACATCTAGACCCATTTCCATGGAACAGTATTTGACTTTTTAACAGTTAGCCCTTTCATTTGAGATTTATTGGAGGAATTTTTATAAAGCACTTTAAATTAGAACATAGTAACTACAGTTTGTCTAACTATCATTCGTAGTTACTATTCAATTGTTACTAACTTGTATTATTTGTATTCAAACGCGCAACGAATACAGCATGTGTCAACTATATTCATTATTCGCACAACAAATACAACATGTATCAACTGTAACCAAGCCGAAATACAAGGGTGTATACAAATGATACAATTGTATCGCCTGTATACAGGGGTGTATACAAATGATACAACATGTATTGACTATATTCGTATCGCACAACGAATACAACTTAGGCAAAATACAGAAATACATAAAATTAAAATGCACTTATTGAGAGTCGAACTCAAGACCTCTGCTAAGTAAGTGGGCGCACTAACCAACTATGGTTTGCCTAATTACCATTCGTAGTTACTTTTCAATTGTTACTAACTTGTATCACAACGAATACAATCTGTATCAATTGTATTCGTTCGTACAATTGTCTTCATTCGCACAACAAATACATGTATCAACTGTAACCAAGCCGAAATACAAGGGTGTATACAAATGATACAATTGTATTGACTATATATGGGGGTATATATAAATGATACTCCCTCCGTTTTAATTTATGTGAACTCATTTGATTGGGCACGGAGTTTAAGAAAAGAGAGAAGACTTTTAAACTTGTGGTGTAAAATGAGGCACATATATTTTGTGTGGCTATAAATCATTGCATAAAGGTAAATTGTTTCCAAATAACGAAAGAGGTCATTCTTTTTGGCACAGACTAAAAAGGAAATAGGTTCACATAAATTGAAACGGAGGGAGTACAACTTAAGCCAAATACAGAAATACAGAAAAATAAAATGCTCTTATTGAGAGTCGAACTCAAGACCTCTGCTAAGTGGGCGCTCTAACCAACTAAGCTACAAGAGCTTGGGCCAAATACAGAAAAATAAAATGCTCTTATTGAGAGTCGAACTCATAACCTCTACTAAGTAAGCGGTCACTCTAACCAACTAAGTTACAAGAGCTTGTTGCTTTTTTATTTCAATTCAAAACAATTAATCTCTTATTTCATGAATTTGCTATAAAAAAAAATAAAATAGTTGTGAATGGTAAATTTGCTGAAAGTATAACTATGAATGATAAATACAATGTAAANATATATATATATATCCCAAAAAAGACAATTAGAAAAAAATGGTTAGTTATTATCTAACAAAAATAAATTTCACCAAGCATCGCGAAAATGATTAAATTCAGTTAAAAAACCACCATTTCCACCTGAAACTATTGAAAGGAATTGAACAGAACACAGCTAAGATCATAGTTTGGTCATAAAGTTCTATACGCCTATTCCCGGCAGAGCACAAAAAAATGAGGTAAAGAGATGCCCACAAAGAAAACAAAATATATAAAGATGATTAAAAAGAGGGAAAAAATTCATAAGCTTAAAGAAATGGAAGAAATCAAGGTGAAAGCACTGTTACAATTGATCTTGCCTGAAATTCAGGAGGAAAAAGTCAAATAAGTGAAAAATCTTCAAACATAACCCCTTCTTGACAATCAAGCAGGACTGCAATCACATTAGAAGCTACTCTTGGCAGCATTGCTCTTATCATATTAAACATCATACCTAGAGCTCCAGAAATGGCCTCCAATAACGAGGGGAGAATCTTCTTTTTCCTTGCGTTTTCTCTCCGGCAGCCCAGAAGAAAGCAGCATAAAGAATAGCTGCTCTGACCTTCATGAAGTAAGGATAGACCTCTGATGTCGAAAATGATACTCTTTATCTGTTTTCAGTAGTGTCCCCATAAGTATATTGGAGACTTACAATCCTTGTTTTCTCACAAGGTTAACAATGAGTTTGTTCAAGTTGGAGATTTCATCATCTCTGTGGTTTAATTCTTTCTTTAGCCTCTCAATCTCCGTCACGTGAGTTTCACACTGACTACAACCTGCACCAGCCTCCTTGAGCTCCGTACATTGGTCTTCTATTCTCGGTTTCTTTGGCTCTCTCACGGTCTCTTCATCTACAGATGACCTCTTCATTGGGTTAACCTCTATATCTAAGTTATTGGTGGCCATCTTACAAACACACAAAACCCCTGATATACCGGAATCAAGATGAAATGAAACGAGCTTTTGTGGCCGTCCCACAGAATCCTAACAAAGATAGATTAACAAATGTTATGACACGCAGGTTGAATAAAAGCATATGCCTCTCTCATGTACACACTTGGTCTTCCCGTTGGACGATGAAAGCCCTTTTGTACAAAGAAATCCTGAAAGAATACCAACCTTATCTTGGTTGCCTTCAAGCTTTTCAAATGCCTCATTTGCCTCTTGCTGATTTTTGAAATTGACGAAGGCAGAATACTTGTCTGCTTGCCCTTTTTTATTAGCCTGCTAGCAGATCATAAACGGACAAATTAAATACAATAAAGTAAAGTTCCAACTCAAGTGATGAACCGTGCAAATTGTTACTCAAACATCTTTTGTGTGCAAGCATCTCGATTACTATTGCTGTTACAAAAGAGAGCAATGGTTCTCTTAAATTCAGAAGCACATAAAATGTGGGAAACTTCAAATTGCTTGAGAATTTCACCCCCCTGGATTTGGGGGGGGGGGGTGTTTAGGGATGGGATAACAAGAAGTTCAAACAGCAGGCAATCTAGACTACAGTATTGGGTGATAAGAGCAATTACCACTGCTAGTCCCTGGAGAAGGGGTTCTGAAAGCTAAGGATTACAAATTTCAGAAAGAAAAAAAAAAGGAGAGAGAGTGCAGGAGCAAGTACTCAAAGTTTTTGAACAATTAAATGGATAAATTTAATTAAAACTTGTGTACTAGGAAAAGTTAGAAAGTGGGAGGGAAGTGGAACCTGTGATGCCAGCTGCAGAATGAACTATGAAGTAGCTTATGTAGAGTCTAGATTTGTAAAAAAAACATGTAACTAGCTAATTTCAACTACAGATTCTTTGGTAGCATTAGAAATAAAAACAGTTTTGGTTTTGGTTTTATAATAGTAAAAACATAATCTGTTGGACTTGCCTTTAATAACGCTGATAACGATCCATATAACATGGATTTGTTTACAAGCACGTATCTGGTGAGGGTAATTGTGAACATTTGGCATTGGCACGTGTAGCTTCTGGCAAATATTAGTGTTTTTTGAAGAATTAGCAAAGCACCTATACCCAATGTCACACCAGTTTGACACGAGTACATTAAGGCAATTGAAGGAACCATGTAACATGAGGAATGACTATAGCATAGACCGTTACAAAAATACGTAAACAAGCAAGAATGTGATTCTTCAACGACTGAATGTCGACATATGCTTTTATAAACTAATTAGCATAAAGTAGTGCAAACTGCATAAAGATGTCATTCATTATTTATATGACATGAGAGAGAAAAAAGCATGAGATTCTCCTAACCTTAACTTCTAAGGTAAAGTCTCCAGGAATAACTTTGTGTAACTCTTCGCTATGAACAGCCACTGGTATTCTGTGGACAAGTAGCTTTGCCACCTTGGGCTCTTGCACCTAAACTCAAAGGAGTAGATGACCATCTTATAATCAGGACACAAGAAAGAAAATGAAATTTAAAATAAAAGGCTTTATGATATTACCTCCTCACGAACTAACGGTATGATACAATCAACTCCACGTTCAATCTTGGCAAGAACAAGTTTCATTGCAGTACATGCATCATCCAGACAATTATGTGGAGAGTCCTTCTTTCGAAGTTCAAAACCTAACACAGACTATTTGGAAACTATTGTAAGTAAACAAAAGCATTCACCAAGCAAAGCTTGTGATGAATAGTTAAATACTTGTTAATCTTCAGCTTATAAAAGGAACCACAGTTGGAAAAAGAAGAACAGGGAGAAAACCACAAAAAGACTGCTAAATAAAAAGCAGCACAACTATTTTCCTAAACACAAAACGAATAGAGTTATTTGGAGTGTTCAGATAAAAGCATTTGAAAAAATGTCTGCACTTACAAATTCCCAAATAAAATAGGAATCCAAAGTGAGGGTTGATATGACCAACAATTCAACAGAGTGGACATATTGTAGCATGGGAAAGAAATACTAAAATTAAAAAAGCACAGCTTACCTTACACAAATTACTTAAAGAAGGTCTTCTATTAGAAGGCTGATCCCGATATTTGAAGACATAAGATGTGTCAATCACTCTTGCATGATCTATCTTCAAAGCTATTAAGAACAACATAACAGAGCTTTATCAAAAAAAAGAAAAAAAGCAAAGGACATAACTGAGAAAAAGCACGACATAATACTCTAAGGACAGGGAAAGAAAAGAGAAAAGGGAGTAGAAATAACATTAAAGCACGGGGATATTAAAAAGAGACATGTGATCATAAAAGTCATGTCATTTCCATTTACCAGTAGATGTGCACCAAAGATTTGAATGTCGATTAAAGACCATCACTTATGATGCAAGATGTAGCTTACCACGAAGGTCATTGTGTAAACTGTGGCCAATCAATATGGTTCCATGTGATAATAGCTTCTTCATGGACATCTGGGTCATAGCACACAAAAGTTCAGACAAAGAAATTTTAATGGCTACTGGACAACCTAAATAGAACAACCTTTTTTTGAGAAGGAACCTAAATTGAACAACTTATACCTGTACATCAGCCAATGAACAAGAAACTCCATCTAAATCTCCAGCGGTTATTCCAGTAATCTCAGTTCTGTAATCTGCAATTGGTTTGTTTGGATTCACAAATTCATTGAGTTTAACCTGCAATTTTCAGAACTTCAAATTAACTTATGGTGACATGAAAAAAAAGAGTGGAACTACATCAGAGATAAAGAGGCTAAGCGGGTGGCTCCATTTGCAATTGGTTATGTAAACAGTATGTTTATGCCACAGAAAGGTATAAGGCCCAAAAAATACCTCCAACTTATCATCCACAGCACAGATTCTGACTAAAGCTTCGGTTCCATCTTGGCAAAGAACCATTTCGCAATCAATTGCAATCATTGCCTTTTTTGATTTTACGAAATTAGACTTTTTAGTCCTTCTCGTGACTAACCAGTCCTGTTTCCATGGATGTACATTGTAGTAAGAGAAGTATACTTTTACGTCAGAACAGCCAATTATACAAATGTAGTGATTCCAGGGCCACAGAATATATTCATGGATTTGACTATAACCACTACGGTAAACAAGCTAAAAACTAAAATGCAACAAAAATATACTGCAGGAGATCATGATATGCAAGTAAAACCATGCATTTTTTTCTTAAAATAACTTCATTTCAAAACAAATAAGCTGAAGCTTGTGACCCAACAGACCTTATAAATTGTTACAGGAAACACATCAGTTAAGAAATTCTTTGAAGGAACTTCTTAAATAGAGGTAGAACTTCCTAAGTAAACATTTTTGACATAGTTGGCAGAGATAGAACTTCTTAAGTAGACAATAAGAAAAGAATACCAAAGCCAGTAAACGAACCTCCTCGTGTGATGGAAATGAGTAATCTGTCGGGTATTGAGGGTGCTCAAAAGTTAAACGAACCAGTCCCTGCACTGCCACAATATCAATTTATTAAGCACAGAAGTTGTTGAGATATAGTGATCATAAACCTTCATAAGAAGATGCCAACCAGCATCTTCCTGGAAAAAAAGTGGGGCGGGGGTATCAAAATTGGAGAGCATGCAACTATTTTGCTATCAATAATTCTGAATACTAGTTCCAATTTTTATTTTTCATTTTTTTTATCACCGTGCCCTGCTAGCTTGCGAGGGACTTGACTATAATCCACCGAGCAGCATGTCCTGCCCACAAGCACATGTTGTCAATGGTAATTCTGCCCACCAAGGTTAGAGAAAATCACTCATCATAGCATGTGTTGTAGCTGGTATTCAAACCAGGGATCTCCAGGTTGTCATTCTCAAATATCAACTATATATATTAACAAGTTATAGCCGCAGTAAAATTCTAACAGAACAAGTTATAGCCACAGTTAAATCTAACAGAACAAGTTATAAGACCTATTAGCAGCGACTGGAGATGAATTAGCTACTCACAACCCACTTAAGTAGATTTTTCCCAACTATCTTGCAACAAAACCACCCTAATATCGCAGTTATGATTCGTAATAATATCTAAAAGCCAAAATATACTCTTCACCTGTTCCGCGGATTCACTATCCGGCGACTTTTTCTGAAGCTTCTCTACAGCATCTCGATTGGAATAACATTGAAACACCTTTTTAAAAAGCTGCACAAAAGGGACATTATTGCATTAGTAGTAGCAGCGTTATTTTACGCTAATTAACCAAATGAAAACAAGAGGTAATCGATATTAACCACCTTTATGTCATCCTCTTGGCTAAACGTCTTCAAAAACGCAAGCAGATCATCAACGGACCTCTTCGACGGGTCACTCAAGCTAACCCCTAACTTCTTGTCGTGTGATCTCAAAAAATCTTTCCAACCTCCGCTACTTCCTTTCGTCTGTCGCTTTTGAGCTAACTTGACAATTTCGACTAGAACCTTTTAACAATTAAACATGATAAATTACATATCATCGTTTCTTCGGAAGCTAATTGTTAGTAATTATCTATTATACATAAACTTTGAATTTGCACTATTGGAAAGCCTAATTACTGTCTAGTTCTACAAAAAAAAATTGTAAAACCAGCTCAGAAATATGAACAGCATATATTTATAAATCGTTTAACCAGCTAATTGTACTTAACTCCTGCAAAAGTGGGAACATAAAAACTAATTTAAACGAGGGCATGTATTAAACAGGTTTATTTTGTGAGCATTTACAGTATAATCAAAAAAAATTGCAACTTTACACGGCTGAGAGATTCACCTCTTTCTTCGCTGATGAGGCAAACTTCGAATCCATTGCAAGGGCGGCTCTAGGGTAAGGCACGTGAAGTCCTTGACCTAGCCCCCAATATTTAAGGCCATAAACGTATGAAATAGTATTATTTTATTATATAATTTATATTTATAGTAATTATTAATAAACGATTTTAAATTTTAATATTTTTTAGACATGATAGAGGTAGGATTGAGTAAGTTAATTAGATAATTTTTTCTTTTATTAAATTAAATAATATATTCATATTCTCGTTAATTCTTTTTTTTCTTCCTCTATATATAGTCCTTCTTCATATTTCTCATAATAACTTTTAATTTCAATTCGAATTTTTTAAATTAATTATTCGTTTTGTCACATTTGATTGATGCATACATCACAAAGCAAGTTCTTTTGTATCTCTTTTTTTAACTAAGAAATTTCCGAGGCAAGTGTCGCAAGGTTCAAAACTCGATAAACAATGGGCTCGCTCCTTTACCATTTTCGCTTAATATTATTTTTTTTTTATATAGGGGAGAGAGAAACCATGACTTGCGCCTAACCCATACATCAAACATTGCACTTTTACTACTAGATCAAAGTCATGTAGGCTTTATTTTTGTATATCATTATTATATGAACTTTATGAAAGAAATTAAAACTTCTTTTAATATTCTTTAGTTTTAGACCACCGATTCCGTTGAGACTACTGTCACGTGAACATTCTGTTCAACCAACTTTATTCACATTTGATAACTGAATGATAAATTCACTAACGTTGATATTCTTTGTCATTATTGTATGATCTTAATTGAGACTATAAAATTTGATTGAGAGCCTTAGGGGTAGACGGGTGGCTCAGGGGGGAGGCTAGTAAAGCCTAGATTTAGCCCCTCGAAATTTTGAGGCCCTAAAATTTTTTAATAGGCCACTAATTTTATTAATCCGTCATTTATCCACTGAGAATCACTGCAAATTGAACAAAGTTAAGATTTGAGAAGAAAATTTGATGAGAAAAAATGGAGCAGCTCTTCACCTGCAGGTGGGGGAATTAGGATAGGCCTTTAGGGTTTATGATTTTCATGGGGTTTACGATAGTCGAAGTCCTAAACCTGCTCAATATTTAAAAGGTAAACTTATTCTTTTGACACTTTGGACTATGACTTTTGTCCTTTTTACGATATTTGGTCTAATATGTTTGACTTTGTTGCAAAAGAGTAATTTTGATGTTAGTTTTCATGAACTATGGGATAGATACAACGCAATAGTGCTTGCATGGATCATGATATTCTTACTAGGCTTAATGACTCATATGAAAATGCTAAGAATCAAGTCTTAATAACTAGACCACTACCTAATTTGAATCAAACTTGTGCTATGATCATCAATGTTGAAATTCAGAGGATCAATGAAAAGGGTGTGTATGGCTCTAATGATACTAATGAGGCTGCTGCAGTGTTGAGTAATATAAATTATAACAACAATGGAGGATTCAACAACAATGCATGCTCTACAAATACTAGATATACTGGAGGCTATAAGTCTAAGAACTCATTCAATAAGTCAACAATTTACGGTGAGTACTGCAAGTACAAAGGACACACCAAGGATAACTGCTTCAAGTTACATAGCTACCCTAGTGATTTCAAAAAAAGGAAAAGAGGAGGAACCTTCAATGTTCAAGCCAACAATGTAAGAAACTATGGAAGTCAGCCCTCAGAAACACAAAGCGACTCATTAGGAGGTTTTGGCCTCAGTTCTCCTACTCAATTTTTCACTCCAGAGCAATATCAGCAAATTCTGCAGATGCTGAACAAAGGGAAGGATGTTGAACTTGTAGCTAATTCAGCAGCTACAAGAACAGTAGGTAAAATACACATTTTTATGTCTACCTCGATGAATCATAACTAGATAACAGATACGAGAGCTTCTAACCACATGGTGCATACTCTAAATCTATTAGATTTTTATAAGGAACTATCATAGACATATAAGAATAAGGTACATCTACCTACTGGTGAAAAGGCAACTATTACACACGCTGGATCTATTCTTTTTTTAGAAATAAGAAAGTTCAGAACATATAACATATTCTAGAGTTCAAGTATAACCTACTCTCAGTCTCTAAGATTACAAAAGAGTTAAGGTATATGGTGGCATTCTTCCATGATTTTCGTGTATTTCAGGAACTCTTCAGTGGAAGGTCATGAGGATTGGTAAAGAAGAACTTAGTCTCTACATTCTCAAGGCTTAAGACAGACAATCTCCTAAGCAACACTTACCACCAACTATAAATACCATTGTTAGTAGTACAAATAAGTGTGCTAGTAAGCGTAGCACGCAATCCTTCAATAATTTTCCTTTGTGACATAAGAGGTTAGGACATGCCCCTCTAAAGGTGTTATAGAAACTGCATAGTTTATATGATTTGCATCTGGCTGATGATCACTATACTATGTGCCTCATTGCAAAATAGTCAAGACTTCCTTTTGCTCTTAGCTCTTCATGTTCTACCTTTATCTTTGATCTTGTGCATGCAGATGCCTGGGGTCCATATAGGACACCTACTCATGATAGCAAGAGGCACTTCTTAACTTTGGTAGATGACTATTCAAAGTATATTTGGATATTTCTCCTTATCACTAAAGCTGATACTATTGTAGTATTGAAATACTTCTTAGCAATGGTTACAAATCAGTTTGGGGTTACAGTTAATGTCTTAGAACAGATAATGAGACTGAATTTATGAATGACCAAGTGACTTCTTTATTGCAAATCTTGGAATTCTTCATCAAAGCTCATGTGTGTACACACCTTAACATAATAGAGCTGTTGAGAGAAGACACAGATCAATTTTAGACATGGCTAGAGAACTCAGGTTCCAGGCCTTTATGCCATTGAGTTTTTGGGGTGAATGTATGTCCACAATAGTCTATATGATGAACAAGTTACCTACTATTTTACTTCATGTTAAGACTCCTTTTGAATCATTATATCAGAAAGTCCCCCTATACAATATCTCAGAGTATTTGGAAGTTTGTGCTATGCCACCAAAGTGCAGAAGGTAGACAAATTTTGTCCAAGAGTAGTTCCAGTAGTTCACATGGGATACTCTTCTTCCCAAAAGGGCTATTTCCTCTATGACCTACATTCCAAGAGTTTCTTTGTGAGTAGGAATGTTGTGTTCAAGGAAGACATTTTTCCATTTAAGAACATGAAGTCTGGGGTCTCCTATCTATTTTTTATCCTAGAGTTCACATAATCATCACCTGCAGTCAAGGTTGATCAGCAGTCATCCTAAGGTTACATTCCTCCTACTACTCAGTCACCTTCTCCTAACTCTATTAGTGATGATCACTCAACACTTGTGCCTACTGAGGTCTCCAATGAACACTCATCATCTCCTGTAGAACTCAGAAGGTCTTCCATACCCTTTAAACCTCATGTGTGGCTCATTGATTATGTTGTACAACCTAAGAAATCTTTTTGTCAATATCATGCCGCACATTATATGTCTTATGACCAGCTTTCTCCTGCTTATCAAGCTTCTATAGTTGTTTACTCTACTATTGTTGAACCTAGTTCCTTCAGTAAGGCTAGTGTTGATCCTAAATGGGTGAAAGCCATGCAAGCTGAAATTTCAGCTTTGGAGGAGAATAATACCTGGTCCATAGTAGACATACCTCAAGGAAAGGTTCATATATGGTGTAAATGGATGTTTAAAGTCAAATATAGGTCCAATGGTGAGGTGAAAAGGTATAAGGCCAGATTGGTAGCCAAATGCTACAGTCAACAAGAAGGATTAGACTACACCGAAACTTTCTCATCAGTAGCCAAAATGGTTATTGTGAGAGCTATTATTGCTCTAGTTGTTGCTTCTAGTTGGTATATTTTTCAGATGGATGTACATAATACATTTCTTCAGGGTGACTTAGTGGAAGAGGTCTACATGAAAGTTCTAGATGTTTTTCAAGCGAGGGGAGGATCAAAAAGTGTGCAAATTGCACAAGTCTTTGTAAGGACTGAAGCAGGCACCCAGGCAATGGAATCTCAAACTAACTGAAGCACTTCTAGCTATGGAGTTTGTGCAAAGTCACTATGACTACTCTCTCTTTAATAAGAAGATAGGAACTGAACTGGTGCTTATTCTAGTATTTGTAGATGACTTGATAGTCACAAGTAGCAATCTACATCTTATCAAGCAGGTGAGAAAAGAGTTGCAAGAAAGATTCAAAATGAAGGATTTGGGAGAGCTGAAGTACTTTCTTGGCATTGAATTCTCAAGATCTCAGGAGGGTATCGTGATGTGCCAAAGAAAGTATGCCTTAGAACTGGTGTCTGAACTTGGTCTAGCAGGTGGAAAACCAGTTTTCACACCTCTTGAGTTTAATCATAAGCTCACATCTATTGAGTTTGATCAATAGGTAAAGAATAATGTTTCTGAAGATATGCTACATGAAGATAAGGGGAGTTATCAGAGGTTAGTAGAAAGACTATTGTACCTAACTATGACAATGCCAGATATAGCCTTTGTAGTACAGACACTTAGCTAATATATGCATGCGCCAAAGGTTTCTCACATAGATGTTGCAAGAAGAGTAGTAAGATACATCAAGTCTACACCTGGACTTGGACTTTTTATGCCTACTGGGAGCTGCAAAGATTTTGTAGCCTACTGTGACTCTAATTGGGGAGCATATGTGGAGTATAGAAGATTAGTTATTAGTTATGTGGTGAAGTTAGGTGGAGCTCTAATCTCCTGGAAATCTAAGAAGCAAGGGACAGTGTCCAGGAGCTCAGCTGAAGCAGAATTTAGAAGTATGACAGCCATAGTAGCTGAAATTGTGTGGCTAGTTGGACTCTTCAAAGAATTATGAGTGGATATCAATTTACATGTTTCCTTACACTGTGACAGCAGAGCAACCATTCAAATTGCTGCACATCCAATCTTCCACGAGAAAACTACATATAGATATTGATTGTCATTTTGTAAGGGAAAAACTTGTGCAAGGATTAATTCAAACACAACATGTTAGAACAACAGAGCAAATTGCAGACTTATTGACTGTCACTGCCCAATTTCTCCTATAGGCCGTGATGG